CCACCTGTTGGAGGAAACTTGAAGCCCTCTGGAGAAGTGAGGATGGAGATGAAGCGGAGGCAGTGCTCCAGGTTCAGGTCTTCTCTCAACCAGAACGGACAGGTAGATGGAAAAACACAGAGCAATGAGTGTGAATGTGTTAAAGGACAGACAGCAGATGAACTTTTCTTGATATGATGGGTTATGTTGTATAGTTTCAATTAGAGGGAATGATTTATTTTTCTCTATTAAAATTTGTGATTTCATTAATAGGACTGCGAATGTATTCAAATAGAAAATGAATAATTTTCTAGAGGGCAAAATAAAAATAAAAAAAGTAATATTCCCCTATCCTAAAATAACTCTATTTTTTAATTTTAAGGAAAAACGAGGAAAAATATAAAAATAGCTGATAAATGCAAGCAAAAACGTAAAAGTATCAAGGTAGAAGACAAAAACAAAAGCAAAGACAACAATATTGAAAATCAATATTATCAATAAATTTGTCTCACTTATCCATTTCTGTTTTTTATCTAATCTCGACACTAATTTTTCATATTAAGAGTCTCATTTAGATTTTTTCTCACTCTTTGTTTTCCTAAGAAGCATTTTTGATTTGACCTCATATATGTATTTGTATCCATGGCAACAATCCCTCCAGCGATCCTTCAGCCTCTGAGTGATGATGTTGTCGGTGTTTTGAAGGAATTTCAACACAAAACATTGGAAAATACTTCTGCTTGCTTTTTACTGTAGTTACTTTTGGGGCCTTTTATAAAATCAGTGCGCTTTTTAAAAATATTTTTGGTGAGTAAGAAGTTGTTTTACTCCTATTATTTGTTTTAATGAAAGCGCTAATGGAGAAGAAGAAGAAAGGTCATGGTAGAGAGTGGACTAATGAAGGACTTAATGGTGAGAAAAAGAGAATAAAGTGAAAGAAGCTGAACATGAGGAGGAGGAGAACTCATGGTTCACCTCCTGGGTTCCAGGAACTCCCTTGGTCTGCTTCCAATGATTGCCCCCAAGTCTCCCCCAAGCTCTTACCTCTGAAATACACCTTCTAGCAACCCCCCCTTACCCTCCAACTTTACATTTTCTGGCAACTCCTTAAATTGCCCCCGTCACCCCTTCTTCCTCTGAACTACTCACTCCCCCCTTTTTACCCTTTGGCATCCCGTCCAAACTGCTGCCCTCTTAGCAAACATCCTCCCTCCTCTCTTTCTTTCTCGCGCTCCCTCCACCTCCTCTTGACTGCCATAAATGCCCCCAGGACTGTGGTTCTTTCAGTTATTTGCCTCTCCTGACAAACCCACACGTCCTTCTCCGATTGAAGGCTCACAAACGCTCTCCCTCTCTCTATCCCCTCCTCTGTCTCTCCCGGCTCTCTCTGCCCCTCTCCCCGGGATGTAAAATATTCACAGCTGCTGCTGCGGTCAGGTCGCATGGCCACAAGACTCTCTGAGCAAACAGAGGAGCTGTGAACGTGTGAAGCCGATGGTGTACGTTTCATTTGAGGTCCGACACAGGTCTGATAGATCCTGATGTAGTCAAAACAGAAACCGCATACTGAGCCTCACCACATGCCTCAACAAACCAAACACTAACCAAACATACCCAAGCACAACACTAAAAAATGACATTGGCGAACAGTTTCAAGAAACATGTTAGTCGCACTGTCGAAACAGGAGAAATGATGCGTTGCTCTGCGCCGCTGAACAGACCAACTCAGATGTCACTGGAGTTGATAATCAGTGTGGAACATCTGTCTTGGATAAATGCCTCCCTTTTAAAGTCTGGCCTTGTTATGCATTACTGTTAGAGGAGAGAGCACATTAAGTCATGTTAAAAATGCAATAAAATCACATCAGGCTATTCTGAGAGGTCTACACATGATGCATATTTACAGACTTTACTCTGTATTCCCGGAATAACTAAGTGGACAAATTTGTCTCAGGTTTTATTTTGTAACTCTGGAGTCATTTTTCTAATAAGGAAAGTGTTACAAATCCCGATTTCTGAGTTCAAACCGCCAAATATAAAAACACGTCGGCTGCCCTTGAACTTTATGAGGGAGGGTGAATGGGGGGGAAAACAAGGAGGGATCAGTGTCTTGAACACATTTCAAAGTAATTGTACTTGATATGTCGTTTACAGAACACCCAAGTAATCATATAAACAAAGGACTAGATGCCCTGGGAGGATGAAAGGAAATTCGAATCTCCCTCCGATGCATCATACTTAATCACGTTTTGACACAAGTTTTAGGCACCGAGGATTCCTGCGCATGAAAAGAGGACCGAGGACCCTTTTGTAATAAACACAGCGGGACGGACCCACTCTGGTAGATTCCATCATACTCTGAAATTAACTTGCTCAAACACCCACACAGACACACACACACAGACACACAGAAAACAGATGGCAGGGAGTTGAAAGTGATGGATGCAATGAAGAAATTAGAATTGCTGCAGCCCTGGGAAGAAAAAATATATGAGTTTATGTGTGTGTATGTTTTACTCGCTGAATTGTCTGAACTTGAACAATCAATAACAAACGTTCAAAAACAGAGTAAAAACCGACGCCACGAGACTGAGATAGCACAAGCCTGAGAGAGGGAGTGAAAGAGAAAGCGAGAGAGAGAGAGTGAGAGAGAGAGAGAGAATGAAAGAAAACATGACATCATAGTTAATTAGAATCAGGTGATAAACAAGGCAGTGATATTTATGTTATACCATATGCCCTGCTCCATGTGTCTTTCTGTCTCAGGGGGCACAGCAACAGGTTTCAGACAAGTAAGGTCAAGGGGGAGGTCTTCCCCAGCTGCCAGACCACACTGGTTCACACACCTCTTTGTGTGTAGATGAATGTGTGTTTTTGAACATGTTAGCCATTTTTCTCAGGCCTGTTTTGTCTGTATTCGTCACGTAAAAGACAGCGTCAGTCCTCCGGGAAGCCATGTGTAACTTTAAAAAGAAGAGATTTTTTGCCGTGAGAAAGGAAAACCCTTTTAACTCGTCGACCAGCTTGTTTGCCGGGATGCTCTCAAGCTTAATCTCTAACAGACTCCTGAGTCATGTTTCAAGTACTCCACCGACGTATTCATGATTTGTTATTGACACTGATTGTTGGATCCCTTCGAGTTGCCAAAATATTAAAATGTTTGTGCTTGAACGGTTATTTTGACCTTTTAAAAGAATAGCAGGAATTTTTCTCCTGACTCATTGTTAATTTACTAGCTCTGGAGCTTTCAACCATGCTATCATTAAAGTGAGTGTGCCTCATCCAAACTAAACATGCTAATGTGCCAGAAAGCCTCTGGACAGTTTAATCAGTCATGCTGCAAACTTTAAGTAGGGGTATCACTGTCTTATTCACACTCAGTGGCTCGTATGATTTTTAGGTCACGATAAGATTCAGTTTACATCTGAAAAATAATTTCTTCCAGGGAATAAATAATGTATAATAATGATTTCCCACGATTATTCTGTGTATGAAACTGTTGATAAATTTCCAATACATTAATCAGGCACATGGTTAGCATAAAGAAAATTGCCATGTCATCTGTAACACTGTCAAGGTCTGAATCGGCAGAAGACGCCACCTTGGCTAATACTTTAGGTTAATCCATGTAGTCTTATTTAAAGTCTCCTTTTTGGCCTTATTTAACGCCTGTTTTAAAGTGTAGCTCGTTTTTGTTAGATTAGCATCTGGCTGAGTTGTAACAGCCTGTCTTTCTTTTAGTAATGATATTTGCACACAGGGGGACCATGTCGGCAGAAAGACAAGAGCTGGACACAGACTTTGTGCGATTTGTGGTTATTTACACGTCAATTGTGTATCCTCCTGTGGCTGTCTGCAACATTATGTTTGTAAATGTCAAGATAATAACTTGAAAATAACCAACACTTGTACTGATTCCATACCTCAGTGGTCAACTTCAGCCGTCTTTTCTTTTTCTCATCATTTTAGTATTTGGAAATATACAAATATGAGCCTTTTTCAGACCCCGATCTAAAGTTCACGACACTAAAGCAGACTGAAGATGGGATAGGGAAACACTGCTCAACAGTTTGATACCCCTTGACATCGCTTCGTAACAAACAGACACATACAGCAACAAATCATCAAATCATAATTAATTTTCTATTTAGTTATCCTAAACTATACTTTATAAATGTAGCGTTTCTGGAAAAGGCACATAAGACATACCTGTATGTACCTGTACCTGAATAGACATGGTGCACATTCAGAGTACGAGTTTCAATCAGGGATTGTCCCGCACATTGTGTCAAATGACCCAGCGTACGATTTAGTCTATGTGTCATTCACAAACTGGCTTGCTAATACTTTTCAAGTCTGGATGAACCAGAGTTTATGCAGCTGCGAGTAAACTGGAATTTGAGTTGAATACTTGTTTTCATCAGTCATATAAACGGCTTAATGGGGATATTATCTTTTTTGAAACTTGTGCTGGACCAGAGTATTTTTTGCAAGTAAAAATATTGTTGTTATAATTTCACTGTTTGACTATCAAGTCTCATGAGAAAGGCAAAACTGTTGCCACACCAAAGACTCGAGGAACAAAGACGGATTTTCCAGTTCTGTTTCTGAATTTGTTTCTGTTGTTTTTCTGTCATCTCTGACTCTGGCAGCGTCTCCAAAAAGCTACCAGTGAGTTACATTGCGCCGTCTTTGAAGTGTTATTTTTTCCCTTCTGACATGCACATAGACAAGAGCGGAGGAGAAATGGTCTGCTGTTCTGTTTTTGGTTTGTTGACGAAAATTGGAAGCTCGTTTTGATGATGATTGATGAACTGGAGTGTACACAGTTCAGATGTTGGTTCAGTGTAGCACCTTTTCATTTGTAGCTCTTTACTAAAAAAGTTGAGTTAATTTAATGTCTAGGATGACTGATAAAAGAATTTCCTTAGTTTGCATGTTTTTATGTCTACCTTGTGCTGTTTGATCATGTTATAAACAACCATGAACATATCTGAAATGATTAAAACTCAGTCAAACAGTTTAAAGACAAATATATTTTTATATTTATTCAGGTTTAAATGATTAGTATTCAAAAAAGAAGCATAAATGGTAAAAAAAAGACAAGAGTTTGTCTTTTTTCTGTTTTTGTTCTTTGCTGTTAAATATTACACAAAATAAATAAATTCAAAGAAAATCAGGATAGTGTCAGACTTGATGCCGTGTCGGAGCTTCTTGACTCAAACTTTTCCTCATCCTTTCTTTCCTTCCCTCTCTGTCTAACAACACTTCCTCTTCTCTCTCTCTCTCTCTTCCCCTCTATTTGTACACATAATGTCATTTTATCTCATTTTGGTCAAAAGCTTCACATGTACACAAATCTAGAAATGTGAGTAACTTTACTAATCACATTTGGCACAGATTAAATTTCTTTTCATATTTTCTACTGTGCCTATGTACTTGATAACTTAGAACTGGAAATAATATATACATTGTATAGCAATATATCTTATTTCTTTTTTTTGAAAATAGAAATGTCTTTGTCCAACAGAGATAAAATGTCCTCGGGTTTCAGTTCTTTTCCTCCTCAGTGCATCATACAGATCTGAATTAGATCTGTCCAATATAGCAATCGCTGTAATTCCAACAAAGTCTCATAGTCTGCAGTGTGTAGAGCTCTCTCATGGCGATATGTCTAATCATCGTGGTTGTACCACAATGGGCAGGAAGTGAGTGGCAGTGTTTTTCCTTCTTGTCTTCTTCCCCCTCATCGGTTTGCCATTGGCATTCAGTCCCACAAACATGTGCTTCTTTTTGTTGCGCCACTCTGCTGAAGCATAGGTATTGTACTTGTTCTCCTCGATGCGTTCAATCAGACGGCAGTCCACACCAAAGTCCCTCTGCGAAGGAGAGACACAGTGTGTGAATGAAACGTGGGGACAGTAGAGGATTGGCAAAGACATTAGATTACGCTGTAATAGAGTCACCTCTTCTTTTTTTTTCTTGACATTTTTTCAGGGTCTTTTTTTGGTCTTTGGACAAGAGAGAGTTCAGAGTAGAAAACAGGGAAGAGAGCGGGGATTGACATGCAGGAAAGGGGTTAGTGAGTGAATTAAACCAGGCTGCCTGCATGTGTGGTACTCCCTTAGACCGCCTCGGCCCCAAACATCACTTCTATTGGACAGGGATTTGGACCTTGGGCTTTATTAGTTGGCTGTATAAAGGAGAAAAGGCTAAGTGGTTTCACATAAGCGTGTTTCCTCTCTAAGGTCCTTACACACCAGGCGCGAATTCGCCAGGCGAATTATTCGCCTTTATTTGCCTTTTTTTAAAACAGCATAAAGTCAATGCAAGCTTCCACACCGGCGGCGATTTTTCCGTGGGGCGAAAAGCGTCTTTTATTTTTTCGCTCTTGTGTCGAATTTTTCAGAGATTCGCAGGCGAATATCTGGACCTGCTAGACCTCTGGCCAATCGATCAAAAGTCATGTTGTTGATGACGTCACAGACCCTTGCGGCTGCAGTTCACGCGACACACACCACCACTGGCACCAAGAGCAACGATGGAAGAGAGTGTGAACCACAGAGTGGTCGCCCGGTGTGTTTAGGTGAAAGCCACTTTTTGGATCGGCGAATATTTTCGCATTTTCGTCTCGCTTTTTCGCTTCACTCCGCAAATTCGCTGGTGTGTAAGGACCTTTAGCCTGAAACTTAAACTGAATTAGTTAGTTGGTTGGTAAAAAGATCTTAGGTGATTGGGCCAATAATTGATCAAATCTGTGGATGAAATCCAAAATATTCTAAATTCCATAAGTTTTCAGCCTGTCATATAAACTTCACTCTTTAAATTTTTTTATGTAACTTGCATGCTCATATTTTAATTTTTTTTTTTAATCAAATGATTAATCCAGTACGATAAACGCTCCAGTGCTTTTCTAAAGGAAATCATGGCCTTAAAACTTGGATCCTTCTTGTGCTCATGTTTAACGTCAACTTGATAATTAACGATAATCTTTTCCTTTGGGCTTTGTTGGTGCACAGCAAGAACATGTTGATGTTTTCTTATTGTGACAACGTGGATCATCAAAAGGTCAGCCTTGCTTAAGAATCTATTGCACAATTCAGTGTCATCCAGACCTATTAGAGGAAAACACCGGACAGGCAGTTTGGATTTGTCAAGACTACATGAGTGAGAGGTAGGCACAAGATGTGTGACGTCTAGAGTGTTTAGGGCTCTGAGCCAGGGGAAGAGCATTGTGTCACCATATTTGTGGCTCCCAGTCCCGCAGTGACCACCCACCGGTAAATAAAGAGAAAATGATCTGAGAGAGTAACATTTTTCAGTTTACTGGAAGCTGCTCTTGTGCTTAAGGCTAACGCTGCCTAAACAGCCAGTTAACTGGACGTGGTTGATATTTACAAGCAAAAATGTACTTGCCCTGAATGTGCACAAATACACACACACACACACACAAGCAAAATATAACTCAGTCCCCCTCTCTCTCTCTCTCTTTCGCTCTCTGTCTCTCTGTATCGGGCCACAGCTGTTCAAATTAGTTCCAGAAATAAAACTGAATGTTCCCAAAGCAAAATAAGAATATTTTACAGACGCTGCAGCTCTTTTATTTATCACTGCACAGTGCTTAGATCAGCTAAATACACTAAGTGTCTGCGTCTATGTGTTCCAAATTATTCGATGAGCATTTAAAAAAGAAACTTTCATCAAAAATTACGTCAAATGATTTAAAAAAGGTCCTTTTTTCTTGGCCAGAGTTTTCAATAAATATTATAATTGCGTAACTTGGTAAAAATCACTGTTTTAAGTCGCCTTTCGTCCATCAATGAAGTGAAACAATGATTTCATTTGATGACACTGGATAAAGAAGTCACTGTGTAAACCCATCTAGTGTAATCCATAGCCAGCCCTTCACTGCGCTGCTACTATGGCTTGTGTTGCACCAAGCAGAAGACGTCATGGGAATTCAGTTTCAGGCCATGCAACAGAATGCCTCTCTGTCTATTTCTACCGTGTGTCATTTCATCTGTGGTGTGGCTCCAGAGAGACATGCTGAAAGTTGGGGTCTTTCAGAGAAGAGAAGAGAAGAAAAAAAAAGGAGGCAGAGAATGAGATGAAGAAAAAGAACGGAAGGAGAGAAAACAGATGAAACGAGGGCTGCTCTCCCTAGAGGGTCTAAAGCAGAATAGAGAAACTGGAGGATTGTGTTCCTTTTTTTGTGAATGGAGAGGAGGAGAGAGGTGAGCCCACACTGACTGACTTTGGTTCCTAGTGGGTGGGTTTTGCAGCCTTGTCACTTGTTTGAAAAAAGCATTCTAGGAAGTTTATAACAACTTTCAGAGAAAGTTCTGGTGCACCTTTGACCTACTGATATCTAAACAGATTTTTCATACTGTACTACCTGAAATAAATGAACAATCATTGAACTTCATGTACATTGGGTTCTGCCCCTTTTTTTTTTTGGTCAGAGAATAATCTAGACTAAAAAGTAATGTATCTTTAAGATGAGAAGATTGATGTGAAACAGCGACTTACCGCTCCGTATAGCTCGCCTTTCTTGCTGATTGCCAGGTAGTAGTTACTGCTGAGGCCCCTGATGGCCACCACCCCCACATCCACTGACTTGATCTCCAAAATACCTGAAACAACAATGAAGAGAGACAAATACGTCAAACTCTGTGGTTCCACAGACAGAAAGGCACTCGTATTGTTATTCCTGTACTCTACTGAATTTGATTTTTGCCCAACAAAACATCAACAAAAACATCAGTGAGCGATATGTGCAACCTAAGTGTCCTGTTTTTGTTTGTTGGAATAGACCGCCATCTTTATGTCAAGTTATTGACCCATCTCATCAACACAGCAAGGGTTGAGGCGGGTGTTAGTAAGCGTGCAGAACACATGGTCATGTTTACCATATTCAACTGTTTTTCTCTGACTGTCATGAGTGATAAGCTCGCTGTATTTAGCTGATGGAAGAATTGTCTTATGCAAAGTAAACTACTGCAGAGTGGACAATAAGGAAGCATGACTTTCTAAATACAGTCCTTTGAAAACTGCAAATAGAAGTTTATTTGACCCAATTTTAAGGCTGAGGCTAAGGCAGTCAGGATATAAAGTAGGGTGACCATATTCTGACTTCCCAAAAAGAGGACACGACTACGCGAGGGCGGAGTTACAGAGTAGCACAAAGTTAATTTTGAGAATTTTTCGGGTCGGATCGAGTGTCTTTCATGTGCTTCTGACTCAGTAAGTCCACGTCCCACAAAAGCGAAACTCTCGTACAAAACCGCGGACATTTGAAGGATTTTATAAACTTCCCCAGACAAGGCCGGAAAAGCCTGGACAGCCCCCCAAAAAAGAGGACATGTCCGGGTAAAAGAGGACGTATGGTCACCCTAAATAAAGAAAATTTCAATAAATAATTAATGCCTCTGAATCTTTTTCAAGGATAAAGAAACAAAAATTTCATTCATTCATTGGATCGTTTAAAATGTAAGAAGATGCATTTTGAAGTTTAAAATGTAAATAATACAGAAGATCGGAAGAAATCTAGGTGATCCCAGTTATCCTGCTCAAGTTATACAACTAGACCCTGGTCTCACACCCCCCTTTCTGCAGTGTGACAGTCAGACCTCAGAGCGGCCTCTTGCCCCCTGTTCATCTGCTGGTTGGCTTTTGGGCCATGTGCCCTGGGACCGAGGTGTAAGCCAGGAAAAAACATTTCTCCGTTCTATGTTTGTTTTTCTGACCAGAGGAGGCAGGCAGGCAGGCACACAGACAGGACGGAGAGAGCCTCTGTGGCTGCCAGGCTGGCAAGAGGTCAGGGCATCCATATCAGTTTTCAAGCCTGAACCAATTACTGGTTTAAGCTGTGGTCGCCGGCCCTTTCTTCTCTCATCCTAAAGTCAGTTACACCAAGCCATAAAACTATCAGGGGTTTGAGAGGATTAGCTCAAAGGGCCAGCAGGAAGTGAAGCCAAGTTGCAGGAATAGTTGAAAAGGGAGAAGTGGAAAACTTACAGGATTTTGAGTGTTATTAAAAGTCTTTTATTGTTATTCTTGAGATCTTAAATTTTTTGGCATAGATAGACTTTCCTGTTATGGACAACTTTGCAACCTGTTGCATTATAAAAGAGAGCCTGAATCAGTCGAGTTTTTGTTTAAAGGTCAAGTGGAGCTGTAGAGAAACACAGAAGAGTAAAGATGAAGCTTACGATGCTCACTTTGTTGTTTAAGTTCAAAATGTCATCCATGTCACGCTTGTCTGTGTAACCTGTTGCCCCCTCCGTAGTCAATTTCGTCGCCTTAAAGGTGACGTTACTGAGCTATGATCAGTCCATGCAGCTCTAGAGGCCGATCCACCTGTTAAAACCCTGATCTCTCTACCCGTTTGATGTGGTTTGTTGAAAACCAAAGCAAAGGACTCTTTTATGGCCCCTGTACCAGTTACCAGAAGCAGCCGGTCTGCCTGTGAGTTAAAAGGACAGGGCGAAACAAAAGGCTTAGATTGCGACAACAGAGTTTATGGCAGGCAGAAAAACAGGACCAGAGCCTGTGTCCCAGACTCTTACATCACTTCTTTGTAATAAATACACAGATGGACGGAGGAATGCACATACACAGACGAATGATTCAAACCCTGGTGTCAAACCCAGATTGCCCCTAAAAGTTACGGTTTTGATTTTGCTCCCTAATTTCCCCCAGTCAACACCTCTTCTTACTGGCATCTTGAGCCTGTTAATGTATTTTTCTACATTTTTTCTCCCTCCTTGTGCCTCCTGGATCTCAGCCCAGCGTCCTAATTATGAATGTATCTTTTAAGTGTAAAAGCAAAAAAAGTTATGATCCTAAGCTGGAAGTACAAATAGTACAGGGTTCAGCTAATGTTAAAGGCATGAACATTTTCCCCTATCAACCTTTTTTTTTTTTTTTTCAAAGCTACCAAGGGCAAACACCTGTGTGTAACAGGGCAACACTACAACTTTCATAAAACCGAGCCAAATGGGTCTCTGCCAGCCAAATCCAAACCGTAACACTAACCGGGCTATGAGTACAAATAAACACAACCTGGCCCTCTAACAGTGAGAAACTGTTCATTAACCACTTCATAAAGGCCACTATGAGGTTTAATGCGTTTCATGGCCAAAATGTAACTCCAGTTTGACCCTGTCAAATCCATAAACCTTCTGCCATTTATAGGAACACTACAGCTCAGTCATACATGAGCAGAATACACACACACACACACACACACACAACAGCAGCTTTGATACTTTACACCATTTATGCTCCAGCCTAATCTGACCATGTTGAGTTTAACAGTACAATACAACCTAGATATGATTTACAATTCTACATAGACTTTTTATACAACCTAGATATGATTTGTAAAGCTACATAGATTTTTTTATAAAACCTAGATACGATTTACAGTGCTACATAGACTTTTTATTTGTTCCTCAAATTAACGATCTAAAAATGCATTTCTTACTCCAATAGTAAACATGATTACAGCCTTGTTCACAAACTGAAAAGGACCAGAGAAAGCACTACAAAAACTGTCAAGTTATCAGTTATTGCTCTAGTCTAACTCTCTTTTTAGTCACCACAGAACAGTAATATGGTTTCTCTGGTGTTGTGTTGTCATAGTGTCAGGCCGATTGGTGCTTGTGCACAGATCCTTGTTCGGACTTGTACCACTTGCACCTATATGGGTATATGACTCCAGTAAAATCTGTTCGGTAAAGAAGTGAAAATTCAGCCAAAGCTGTTTAATAGTCGGCTTCAGTTTGATTTGCTTATTGTCCATATGAGATGAAAAAGAAAACTCTGATAAATTAGAAATATTATTCACTCAAATGTGACATTTAAGGACTTAAAGTCACGTACTTCTAAGGCACTAGCTTTGGTTAGTTTTTCTCATTAATATACAATGTAAAGGAACACGAATGACCTCATACAGTCATTACATAACACAGTGTTAATCAGTCTCCACACACACATACACACACACATATCCACAGACCTCCCGTTGACCCCTGCACCCGCCCCTTTTGGAAAGCAGGTCAGCGAGACTCCAGTTGAACCTAAAGGTTACAGAAGGTTATGAAAATGTTACCACTGTTTATCCTGCAGATTCTTTTTGAAGATTACACTGCGGTTGTTCACAGTCTGACCTTGACACGATGACCAGCTGTGAGCAGGGTCTACTGCCTGCCCACAGCCCTGAGAGACGGCTCTCACTTCACTTATTGTGAAATATCGTCACTTGCAGACTAGTTTGTGTCATGAACTCCCCTCAGAGGGAACAATGGAAACGGTCTGGTTCTTTTATTCCGGGGCCAAAACTCTTGAATACTGAAACGAAACGCTAAAACTAATGCTTCCACTTATGGAGGGGAAGTAAAAGTGACATCCAAGAAAGAAGAGGCAAGAGTGGCCCTTTATGTATTGTTTTAAGCTTTAATATCTGATTTGAATCAGTTGAGGTTAAAACACAAAGATCATTCTTCTCTTTTGAAACTATGACTGACGATGTCTTGAATTTGTTCTGACATGGGAGTTTACATCCATGGGACCGCTTGCAAAAATAACGAGAAAGGAAAATCCACAAAAAAAAAAAGTTGAACATGAGAATAAAGGAACGCAAAGAAAAAAAAAAAAGTCAAACAGGCCTTCTTGGCTGCTGTTGCATTAAAACAAAACCACAGTTTAACAGGATTAAACTGTTTCTCTTGCATTATTTGCTCTTGGAGTTTGCTTTAATATTTCCGGCTCTTTCTGAAGTCTAAGAGGGAGAACAAACACTCTTTGGTTTTGTCAGCAGAGATATTTGGTCGGAGTGGAAACTGTTGTATATTTTGTGCTTGGAGGAGCGTTGAGGTATTGGTTTAGACTGATGTGGTTGACAACAGTATCATCCTGCGCTAAGTGACCACATCAAAGTCTGACTGGTCGACGGTTTTCGACCAAAGCTGAGAAAAACGAAGGCCTGTTTCTGATTTTCAAAATGGCAAATTTTTTTTTCAAATAGAGTATTTCCTCAGAAATTGTTTAGCTCTTGTTTGATTTCCAGGTTATAAATCATATTGAATAGACATGAAGTGGATTCCTTTGAAGGTCTTTCTTTTTCTTTAATACGATTGTTCTTTTTGACCCGCGCTCGCCGTATTATTTTGTATATTCTTGCCGCCATAACGGTTTTATTTCCTCCCCTGACAGAAACATTCACATCAGTGTCTTTCTCATAGGCCAGAAATAGCTGGACCACATGCTGCTTGAGCTGTGTGTGATTTCAAAACTGGCTGAGATACGCAAAGGAAAACAGAAACGGATTATTAAGGAAATCAAACAAAAAGAATCACCTGTGAGAAAACGCTTAATGTGCGATCAGTTTACCGAGCGCAACAAGACCCCGGCAGGTTATGTCACATAGGTTTAAGAGTGGCAGGGAGGAAACCAAAATAGATTTGTCTGTGTTGTTGATAGTGATTTAATCGAGAGGAAAAGAAAAAAAAAACATGATTTTTTTTTTTTCGATGCAGTTGACTTTGTAACACGATCAAGTGCAAAAGCTGCCAGTTTCTGTCCAAACATTTCACAGGCCTGACACGACAGGAGTTATGTTTTCAGGGAAAGTGCTGCGACGGCCGTCTGCATTTCACACATTTTTCATTTACAGTTCAGCTGCCAGTGCAATATTACCCAACTGTTGTGGTCGGAGTTGTTGGTGTTGGACTTTTCAGCCTTAAAAACCATGTTAAATCATGTATAAATGAGTTTGTCATATAAATCTCACTCGGCTGTATTGTTCCTACAGTCTTTGTCTTTTCAACCACATGCACTTTTATCAGTTCACATAGTGGACACACACACACACACACTCGCACACACACACACACACACAGAGGGTAATTAGCTGGCATTCCTGACTGCTCTGTTCAAACGGCCTGGCTGTCCAGATGCCTCTCTGAACTCAACTCTCAGCTCTACCTTTGATGACTCCATTAAGAGCCCCACTTTCATGCTGTGTGTGTGTGTGTGTGTGTGTGTGTGTGTGTGTGTGTGTGTGTGTGTGTGTGTGTGTGTGTGTGTGTGTGTGTGTGTGTGTGTGTGTGTGTGTAAGAGTGAGTGTGTGTTCGTAGCAGCAGGGTCAGGGTAAGGAAGAGAGCACGAAGGAGCAGGAACATGAGGTGTGTGTGTGTGTGTGTGTGTTGAGTTAGGGTCTTTCCTGCAGCACGTGGTGTCTGTATTGCAGCAGCTCTGGATGTTATCTGTCACAGATGCTGTTCTTTGCCTCCCATTGATTTACTGGCCTTAAATTCTGCCTGTTCGTTGCACTAGACTAACACCACAAGAGTATTTTCAGTATTGAGCGTACAGTATATTGTTTGGCATATATCTAACTTTTTAAAATATTATATATCAACAGTTAAATGCAGCGACGCCTACAGTTGCTGTCTGAAGTTCCTTACGGAGTCTGGACTTCTTGGACTGTTATCTCTGTCTGTTCATCTAATAGTTGTTGTCTTCATAAATCTGATCGTCTGTAAAAAAAAAACTCTACTAAACTTGAAAAATGACAGTCCTGCTTTTATACAGCACAAATATCCTGTCCCAACAGCTCAGCCAAATTCCACACACATTCAATTTATTGTGAAAGAGAGAAAAGCAGAAAACCTCACACCGGCGTTCAAACCGCAGACAGTTTCATCTCAGAGGAATGTCTGAAAGTTCATGTAAAAATAAATAAAAATAGATATTAAAGTTTTTTGTAGCTTGCACTGATCTTCAACTTTTAGTGAGTTCGTTTGTCGTTTCACGGATCTAGCATTACTATTCAAATTCTTGGAGAAATGAAACAACAATGAAGATGATGCTTCTCATTTGGGGAACTGTACTTATTTGATATAAGTAAAGTTAATTTTGAGAGTTTTTCGAGTTGGATTGAGTGTCTCTCACACGTTTCTTACTCATTAAGTCCAAGTGACACAAAATCGAAATTTACATACAAAACTGCAGACATTTGAAGGATTTTATAAACTTCTCTGGACAAAGCCAGACAAACCCGGACAGCCCCCAAAAAAGAGGACATGTCCGGGTAAAAGAGGACATATGGTCACCCTAGGTAATTCAGGATTTAGCATATTTTGTCCATCTGGGAGCAGGGAGAACAAAAATCTTACATTGTCTGCTTGTTACTCAAGACCCATATGATAATGAAAAACATAGATGGCCAATAAGAATGCACTAACTTAGCAATCAATGAGACAGTTACACATAAATTATAACACATCCTAAATTTTTGTTTAGTTCAGTTGGTAGAAAAGGTGCCCCGTGATGGCTAAACTCCACATGTATGAGACAGTTTAGTTGTGCTTTGTTAAATCTTGAATTTTATTATTGTTTAGAGAAAAACAAACATTTGTTATCTTTAGTTGCGCTCAGGTAAAATCATGTCGTTGCCAATAGTGCGTTCGAGTTACCTCGGTAGTCAGATGTCGGAGCTGGGAATGACGTCACAACCGAGCTATCAGCGTTTCAGTTACCAAGTCACAAAAATGCGAAACAAGATGGCTACATGTACGACAGTTATCTTAGTGCTTGCCTTGTCCGAATATAAGGCAAGCACTAAAATAACTTTCGTAGATGTAGCCATTTTGTTTCCGCCTCCGACTTTGCTATCTTCCGCTGGTAACTTGGGTTGTGACATAATTCCCAGCTCGGACTTCTGACTTCCAAGGTAACTCGAACGCACCATTAATGACGTCTTCATCCATGACTTAATTTATGTCCAGGGATGAGGAGGTGACGGCTTAAAACAGACTGTGGAGTTAATGTGATAGAGATAGAGGGGGCATAAACCAAACCAGGCAGGGACCAGGATCAATCCCATGACCAGTCTAAACTCATCCATGGAGCGCCTGTTCCACCAGCTGAGCTAAACCGATGCCTACTCCTGTTTTTATTACACTCACTGTTCCCTCACTACATAGTTTACTGAATTCAACTCAGAACGGTTTGAGGAATTTTGCACAAACTGTGAAAGAGCATCCCATTTAACGGAAACTTTATTCACTATGTCAAAGTTTTTTTAAATGATAAAAATGTTCTTCCTATTCAAAATGTTTTTGATTTAAAAAAAACTAGAAAACTCTGATTTTCTATTTGGATTTGAAGTTGTCAGGTATCAGACAGTTGTTTTGTTCACTGCTACTAGAGGCCACTGTTCTTCCAGAGTGTTGTTTTTGTTCTTGGCTCATAAGAATCTACTTGAAAGAAAAGTAAAAACAAAGCCCAAAGCTTTTATTACGCTGCAGAAATGGCAATTGGACATCAGTCTGCTGAACTCCTAAATGACTTTTTCTCCTTTTTTTCTCAGAGTGAAGCAAACTAAATAAGCACTGGCTCGAACTGTGCCGAGGGGGAAAGCGTCTCGCTGAATCTGCAAACGCTGCACTTTGAAGTTCTCAACTGTAAATGATGCTAACAACTTTCCCATCACTGTTTACTCCAGTCAGAGTGAATAACGCTGTGATTCAGTTTTTCAGTTTGTTTCCATTTGTAATGACTTTCCGTTGTTCAGACAAAAACAAACTGTTGGATTATTGTCAGGAGGACAGCTCGTCGAGGAGACAAACACTGAGCTCAATGTGCAGTATGGTTCTTATGCAATAATCACCTCCAGGAATATGTCAAGAGTGCGTCATGAAGTGTTCAAAGCTTCGGGATATCTATCTGTGGAGTACACATCATTAATCAAAAACAAAAGCGTACTGAAGATTTACAAGGAAGCAGTTCTTCAGATTGAATCTTGACAGTTGTGAAGAAATTGGAGAGATTTCATGAGAGCGAGCTGTTAGACTTGGAGGATCCCCACTTTTTTCTTTCTCTGTCTCTCCCTCCCCACGAGATATTTATGATTGTAAAAAAATCATCCATGTAACATAAACAATGAAAAAGGGCGTCCATCAAAACAAAGATGTCCCACCTAAAATTCTTTGTGTATACTGATTGACTTTCAATGTTTGGCTTCAATTTCTCATCCGACTTACGCCAAAGCAGCTGAAGGTCTCACAGAAACATGATTTGCTGCTGACAGACTTTTGTTTAAGGTGGTGCCTGACGGCTGGGGTTTGTGGCAGGGCCAGTTCAGTCTGCTTACAGAAATCTGGCTCTTATTTCTGTCTTTTTGTAGTTGATATATTAATGGACAAAAGGGGGGGTTGAATTGATGGCAAAATCAAGAGGCGGTGATAGGAAATATGTAAACAGTGATGGAAAAATGAGACCGATCCTGTCATTGTCCTCAGTGATGTTTGGCAAAAACAGCTTTTAAAAGTGAAAAAACGGCGCTCATGCATTGTGTGAACGTCTTAACCAATATATTGATGGGGACTCATCTCTCTTCTGCGGAGAGTGTTCTGACTGCTCCTTGCATTGGACTTTTCTTTCTAACATGCCAAGATGTGTACGCTGTGACTCTGCTGCAACGATTTAAAGTCCCACGACTCCGATAGTTTTTTTTTTTTTATAACTACTTAAAGTGTTATCTTTGGTCTTTACATTGTGACTATGAAGTTTTTACCAAAAATTGTGTTGCCTGTGTCATTTTTAGGGACAGAGCTCCAGTAGATCATTAGCAATTGGCCTCTGAGTCGTGGACAGAGACAGCGCTGCTCTGCACACTCATCTTCACGTTAGCTTGTAGCCTAACATTGCCGGCATAGTAGAAGTAGCAGGTAACATAGGAGCAATTCAGCTCTCGGACACTTATGTCTTTGGGGACATGATGAAAGCTAATATCATAATTAGCTTTCTTACGAGCATTGCAATCCGCTAACGCACACGCTTGTTCCGCGATCATCCTCTGTATTTCTCCTCTATGTGCAGAGTGCGGCCTGCATAGCAAGGCTCTGGGGGCGGAGCTTGGATTGGTTACGTATGAAATCTCACTGTTTTGGAACCTGGCGTTTGGGTCTGCTGGAGATTTACAGTGATTTTAATGAAGAAATACTCAGAAAAGCCATTTCGCATTTATATGAACATATCAAAAACAAGAAAAACACAATTTTCATCGAAGTGAGTCTTTAAAAAGCCTGTGCAGAAATTCTTGTGTTTGTGTTGACGGAAACATTTTTAAGTCTAACCAAATCTGAAAACTATGAAAGTACACTGATTGTTCTATGTTTGCTTTTTCTTTTATCGTCTTCATAATGCAGAAGTTCGTCACATTATGGTTGCCAAAATTTCACTCACACCGTCCAAATACATCAGAATGTCAGATGTGACAAATCAAATTGGAGTCTTTTAAAGTCCTTTTTCGTTAATGTTTCTACTGCTGATGAGAAATAAATATTCTTCAAAGCCTCTGAAGACTTATAGTTTCATCCCAGACTGAACACTTCATTTCTAGGCATCAAAGATTACGTAATAACTTATGTGAAGCGTCTCGCACTCGTAAATCCCAGTAAAACTCTTCATCGGTCTTCTTTCTTGACAATTTATAACGTGTTATCGATGATTTGGCCTGACTTCTCTGCCCTTTAAATAATTCCCAGTTTGTAAAAGAAGTCCCAGTCAAACAACACAGCTCTTACGTAAGATAATGATCAATATTACGTAACATTTCTCCGTGATGTTGACAGTTTTTTGCTTTGTAGATTCCTATAAAAGAGCCTGAATCCAAGCTGACATGATTCGATCCAGACCCCTGCCTGCTCTTTACATCTAAACAAACATCACCATTTGTTCTGCTGTCCGTATAGGCGCACACCACAGCTTGTGAGACGCTATCAGGTCAGGAGGTGAAGAGCTTGACTAATTTAAGTTTTTGCCCTTCAGAGGAACTCCCCATGTGTTACGACTACGAGCACGATTGTTGTTGCGAAGATTAGACAAGGTAAATACAGAATGCGGTGTGCAGGTAGTATATGTTTATAGTATGTTTTCAGAGTGCAGCTGGATGTAATGGCTGATGTTAAACTCTGCCCTGGCAGCTTTAGGAGCCTCAATGATAGGTTCAGTGTTTCCTGAACAAGCTTGTGCGGTGACGTTGGCTCACCGCTTTTATTTACGGCTCTTGTAGACAAAAGTCCATGAAGATGTCAGAGTTACTTTGAATGAAAAGCGATGCTGACACTAACCTCTGGAGCTTCCAGCACCTCCTCATAACTCTCTTTTATGGGCCACACTGTTACCTTTTCCCACGAGAACACTAAACCCTACTCATCAGGCACAGAGCGAGGAGCAAAATAAGACGTACAGAAAATGGAGAGACTGGGAATAATTTCAAGATGTTTGGAAAAAATAGGAATGGGAAGTATTTTCTAGAGTGTCACCTAACTGCTGAGTCATTGGAGGTTAATGGGTGCAGGGGAGAAAGACTCAGTGGTGGTGGTTTTAAGGGAATTTTTGTAGACTGATACCCTTTTGGTCTGCCTCGACCTAGAAGACTGTGCTTCTTTGAGGTGTTTCTTGGCATGTGTTGCAGTCTTGCACATTCAAATGATTTATTTTAATTTGCTGCTCCACATAACAGTGTCAGAGGAACAGAAGAGCCACAAGTGACGCATTACATGTAGCGTTGACCTTTCCATTAACAAAGCTTCCTGACTCGGGTCAATAGGTAGAGGTCAAACCTGAGGGGGCGGTCCTGTGTGATTACCCTGGACATGGACAACACACACTAAATCAGAATAATGTCCTGTGTATTAGCCTCTCCATAAATAGTGCTGCGTTCAATTAATTCACGTCAGTGGGTTATGTGTCCGCTGTGATTAATGTTAACAATAAGTTTGTGTGGCAGCTCCTACGACACGGGTGGCCGCAGCGAAAATCCAAAGCTCTGACTGTGGTCAAGTTGGCACCATTTGATTCTAATCGAGCTACGCATGACCACAAGTCTGCGGTTCGACTGCGAACACATGTCCATTTGTTTCATAGCTTTATTCCCATGCTTGTAAACAAGATGTGACAGTCTGCGGACGGCGCTCGAACGAAGTGAACAAGAACGGTTCTGTTGTTTTTTTTGATAGCGTAATCACACAATGAGGATTTGCGTACTCAGACAAGGGAGTTGTCTTATTTTGAAGGCCGCGATGAGGTGACATGGAAGCTCAACTCGGACAAGTTTACACAAACATGTACCAGATAGCGCACTTTCAGGCCCTGTTTGATGTACTGTGCTTGGTTTTGACAACATGATTAGAAAGAGGAGAGCCTCAACCCTGGAGCTAGAGCCTAAACTTCTTCATCACCTCTGACACCATCTAATGACTCTCATTTGGGATTTGACTTCCTGAACGTTACCAGATAACGTGACGATGATATCAACTCTAACAACTAAACCATACGTCTCATCAGTGCAAAGCTTTTAAAAGTTCTGTTTCCAGTAAGGTCAATAATAAGCTCTTGTTTTGGCATTTTAATATCCTTTTATGATGCTGTATCATATTTTATGCGTGTAGGAATCAGCTTTTTATTACAGCAAAAGAAACATATTTTTAATGAGCACATAAAGACCAGAAATCCTGCATCAAAGAAGTAATCTGTTCATAAGTTTCTGTGTGTGTGGCTTTAAAGAAGTTGCTTTGGTTGTGCAGTACAAATGAGCAGTGTTGTTATATGTGTGGTGTAAAAATGAGCAAAAACACCATGTCTTGAATGTCCAAAAGCACATGCATGTTCTCATGTAGTCAAAGAGGATTTAATTGTTCTGTTTAGTGTAGTTTGAAGAGTACAATGTGTTCTCCGAGCACATACAAAATAGCAGGAGGTGGTGTAGAAACTGTTGCACATGCAAGCTTGTGCACTGATGCAAAGACTAACAACGCATGTATACACTGTGTATGTATTACATGATGGAGTGCAGATATGCGCATTACTTAATCATGGTTTCATCGCAGCCAAAAGCCGAGTTTGTCACTAACTTTCCACCCACGTTAAACATCTGCGCTTGCTATCAGGTAGATACTCGATGAAATGCCTGCTCAGTACGCTGCCAAGAGAAACCATGACCTGAAAGTTTTGGCCTCCACTTCTCGTATTTAAGTGTTTTTCTTGTCTTTTGAAAACTTCTCTTATACCCACTATTACAATCAAGCGGTGAGACTTGTTGAAAATGATGGATTGTGTTTCTAATGCCACGACCTGATGCAGTTATCCTTAGTGACACGTCAAGCCCTAATGGTTGTGCTTTTTATGTCCGAGCGTGTAAAAGTGTATACGTCTCAGTGTGCATGTGTGTCGAGGAGGACTGCAGGCGAAGGGAGGGAGGAAGAGACGCTAATTGAAATTCCTTCAGCCATGTCTGGCAGAGCCCTGGTGTCTGAGTGGCACACACATACACACACACACACACACACTCACACACACACACATATTCACACTGGCCCTGGTCCTAATAAAAGTGGGCTTTGCCATATGGAGGCCATGTGCGCAAGACTGGCCTCTCTGTGCTTTAGTGTGTGTGTGTGTTTGTGTGTGTGTGTCTTAGCGGGAGAGTCTTGTACAGCACTACAGACCCACAGACAGATGCATACAAACCTATGACATGTGTATAAAAAACGGTGTCAATGATAAAGCTCCATTGATACAATTTCACTACCAGACACACACTTAACATGCTCTGACAGATTCACACACAGACGGTAGACGTTACACGGCAGAGGCCCGCCGTATAAATCTCAGCTCACGTTTTGGACGTCATCTATCTAATTTAGTGATCTGGCAGGGGGAACTGTGAGCAGGTAAATGTGGGAGTAATGTTCTGTTCTCCCTCAACAACTACTGTCAATGTGCCCTCGGGGTGCTGCAGCCACTTTGGGACCAAGAGACTGTGGCAGTGCGAGAGAACTTCCAGATGTGTTTAAACGAAAGATAAAGTCGTGGAGAACAGAATGATAGCAGCTGATTTTCTGTTCTGCATCAGACATAACTGATGATGATGACCCTTGAGAGTCTGTATTGGTGGTTATATTAGTTTGGATAAAGAGGAGATTCTTATTTGTGTGGAAATTTTAGTAAAGATCATTAAAACAAGCAATTCTTATTTCATTTTTATGCATTCTCTAACTCCATTTTTTAGTCTTTATCCGATAAAAATTGTTCAAAGTTTGAAAACAGCAGAAGAGATATTCACTTTGTAGAGTTTGCAGCTTTCCCAGAGTTTACAAGAGTTTACATACATGAGTGTGAGTCTGAGTGGTGCTGACAAAACGTGTCTGTTCACTGACCCCTCTCGGCATATTTAAAGGTTAAAATCATATTTCACAGCCCTCAAAATGTACAAACCCAGAGGAAGGCGGCAGGATTTGCATGGTCATTACTTTACATCACAGTCTGTAACCTCATACTTAGCGTATGCTCGCTACTATTGTAGGTGCAGCAGCAGAGGAGAACGAGTACTTGTCAGTCTCAGTTAGTCATGTTTTAGATATCGCCTCAAAAAAAAGAGGAAGAACTTTCTCTGAGCCATTTCTAATTGATTCCAGTGGCTCATCTCTTTTTTTTTTATCTCCCTGGCTTTCTCATTTTGCTTTTTCTTTTCCTGTTTCACTGTCATGCAGTCCCGTCCTTGACTCTCTGGAGTCTGGCAAATGTGCTTACTGCCTGTGCACATGGGGAGAGGCTGAAAATCACACAGTTATGTTATTTGTTCTCATGCCCAGTCACCTGTCATAATGTGCGGAGTTTGTAAAGGATGGAAAAACAGGAATGTGAATGTTCTACCATAGCATTTAGGATTTTCGTTTTCTATTCGCTGATGTAAAATTGTTTTATAGCATGTTCCCCTTTTTGATTTGCAGCTCTTCTTTTGACTGCAACATAAATTCCCGCTGTGACTTTCATTCTTGTTTTTCCATTCTTGTGAATAAAACATGAAAACCCAAAAACTCAAGTTAAATTTTTTATAAAAAGTTGACTTACTGTACGGATCGTCCTCACTTTTGGTGCCGTTAACTTTCCCCTTCTTGTCAATGCGAAGGAAAAATTTCTGATAGGAGAACAGTTTTCTCCTGCGCACATCTCCCTGTAGATGGTTGTAGCTGCTCCGCACGTGGCGCCCGACGACTGTCGCCGAGGAAGAAGACACATTGGTTGCCCGTGGCAACCTTGCAGAGGATGCGTGCAGCGGTTGTGGTGATGAGTAAAGTGGAAGGGGTGAAGTGGAGAAATCGGAAAGAGTCCCTCCTGGTGCATTTTGGTTCCCTTCAGAGTCTGATGATGATGAGGAGGACAGCGGTGAAGACGAAGAAGGCCCGAGCAGGAGGAGCAGGAGGAGAAAGGTGAGAGAGAGGAGGAGGTGCGGAGGAGGTCTGTGGCAGGGGCGGGAGGAGAACCAGGCGACCGGTGCACCTTGCGTCACTGTCCATCTACACATGGTAGTGGAGCTGGGAGAGCTGTGGAGATGCTCAGGGGCTGGGGCATGCTGAGCTGGGTGCAGGGAAAGGGAGCAAGAGTGGGAGAAACCCCCCCTGAATGACCGCCTACACCTCCTCTGTGCGGGGACCCCCAACCTCACTGGGAATGTAGGTGTTGAAACCTGCAGAATGACCTGTGTGAAGTGGATTTGTCGCAGCAGATGTGTCGTTGTCGGTGATGTTGATGGTGATGGCGATGAAGCTGCTGCCGGTGGTTGAAGCCTGCGGTGTTGTGGCTGACTCTGCTGTAGTCCCCGGTGCTGTTTATTCCTCAGCAGTGCCGCAGGAATGCGTCAACATCCATAACTCAGATCACCTCACGATGGGAACAACTGGGGGCTCGCCTCAAAAACCTCTCACTACCTCCTCCCCCTTTTTCCCAAGACTGCCGCTCTTTGCTGCCTGTTGATCACACAGATTCTTGAGAAATCCCTCCCTAAAAGTTTGTATGAACACCTACACACTCAAATCCGGAGACAAAAACACACATTATCTCGTCATTCATTAATACAACCAAAAAACCTACTCCACACTCATGTCTCAAATCATGTCTCTTCAGAAAAGCGGAGGAGGAGGTCTGCAGAAAAGATGCCACTCTGTTCAGTAAAAAGTGAATAAATAAAAACAGGAAATTGAAGAAGGATTAATGCTGCTTCTCATAAAATGTCCAGAGAAATCCAAGAGAAGCAGGCCACAAAAAAAAGTCACAAAATCCAGACTTTGTTCTTTTCTCTTCTTCTCTCCTATCTTTGTCTCTTTAAGTTGGTAGAGCTGGTTTGAAGTTACTTGAGTGTGTAACTGAGCTCCGTAGTTCTCGTCTTTCTCCCCTCTTGTTGTGCGTCTTGTCAGTGAGCTGAGCTCCCTATCTCTTCTCAGTCTTAGCCTCTCTGAGTGCCGGAGCAGCGTGTTGCCTCTCTTCTTTCCTCCTGTGTGTGGCTCCCTCTCTTTTGGCCCCCTCCCTCTTTTCCTTTGCCTCTCCCTCTCTCTATCTCTCTGGTTATCTGGAGTTTCTCTGAGGTGACTGAATCTTGTCTTTCCTTTCACCTTATTTATCTGCTGCAGTTCACCAGATGTCATCTCTTAGTGTAATTGGATGTCTATGAAAACCACTTGTCTTTGAAGAGTGCATGCATGTGTGTCTGCACATGTGCGTGTGGATGTGTGTGTGTGTGCATGTGTGTGTGCAGGGGGGGTTCTGTCCCACCCAGTTCTTTCCTCCCCTCCCTCTCTCTCTCTTGCTCTCTCTCTCTCTCTCTCTCTCTCTCTCTCTCTCTCTGTATCTCTCTCTCTCTTTGCTGTCTCCTCCCCTTCCCAGACAAAAACCCACCAGCAGAGCAGAGCGGCTTATATTTGAGATCCATCTTTCATTATAGCTCTGTTTAGTCACAGATATTATTTGAAAGTGTTTAATGAAAATTTCTTTTATAAAATTTTTACAGTAGAGGTAAAATCTGATCCTAAAGGTCCTTACACACTAGGGCTGACACGAATATAGAACTTGAAATCACGAAATATTCAGAGGCGAATTTTGACGCGCCTGACTATACACATCAAGCCCGATGCGATTTTGCGACTTTCCAGGGGAAAGTCCCGCCTCCTTCGCCTCTGATTGACTAGAAAAGCTCGAAATGTCATCATACGCTCAAGCCAAATGGAGTCTACTTCAACCTTAAGTGATGGCGAATTGGTACTTCTTTTGCTTTCTTGAAAGAAAATGAAACATAGCACATGGGTGCATCTGATATTACAAAAAAGAAGAGAACTTGGTGAGTTTCACTGCTTGGTTCAGGAGCTGAAACTACACCACGGTCGCTGATTGTCTGATTAGACACTAGTGTTGAGATGGCTTTCTGTCGTGATAACAAATACTGAGTCAGGGCCAGAACCAGATAGGCACATGAAACTATGGTAACAACCGTTAGCTTACGTTAGCACAGATGAAAGTTAAAACAAAGACGTTTAGCAAACTGTTAAAGCACACAAACCATCCTTCACGTCGTTATATTTGTAATGTTTGCGTCTTTTATCATAAAGCACTCTGTTCTCCAACACCTATACAATCAGCCAGTTGAATATGTTGGCTATGTTGGATATACCGGTGAATCCGACGTCGCAACAACACGCAATCTGATTTGTCAGAAGTGGACACACAGTATGCGAAACTTCAGAAAAATCGACCACGATTCGAAAAAAAAATGCAATATCGCAGAACGGGAAAACGTCACTGATGTGAACACTTGTTTTGACAGGATACGGGTTCGAAAAAAAATATTGACGTCCGAAATAATCTCACGACGAAAACGGTCCCAGTGTGTAAAGACCTTAAGACTGTATGCAAAATCTGTAAATGTTTACCGTCAGGGTAAATCTCTGGTCATCTCAGCCTTCCATAAAAACCCTAGTGGGCGAATGAAAAAGTACAACTCAATATACTCTTTGTAAATTTTATGTGACACATTGCACAACCAGTAGCTCACAGATCTGGAGAAATCTCACCAGGGTCTTTATAACACAGAAGATTAAGAGTGGCTTCCTAAAACTGATGGCCTAGCAGATCAAGTGCCCCAAGTACTGAGGTTATAGTCCTCATCCCATTGGTCGCTGGTCCGACAATCCTTTGCCGCATGTCTTCCACACGCTCTCTGCTTCCCACATTAGGTGATCAATGTCCCAAAAATAAAACTTAATGAAAAACCTCTGTTTGTGTTTTTTTATTTTTTTTAGCTATTCTAAGTTCAAACCTTTTGGGAATGTGGTTAACTTAAATATAAATGAAAAAAAAATAGACGTATTGGATAAATAACTATGTTGTAATGTACTTGGCAAACTGTGAAGAAATTGTTCAGAAAAGAACAATGGAGAAGAGTGATAAAATGCCCCTGAAAATCTTTGCATCTCTGTTGTTTGTGATGTACTCTAAAAATTGAAATATAAATAAATGTTTTTTAAAAAGGAATATTTCATGGTTACGCTGATGATCTAAATAAATTTTAGACTTCTAACACACAAAGTTGTGGTTCACAGGAAATACAAAACAATGTTCACTTTAAAAAAAATAAATACGTTTTTAAACTTTAATCTTATAAAAACTGAATTAGTAGCAGGAAAACTGTTGCCTGTACAAACTTGCTTAAAACACAAATGTCTTACTCAACTGTGAAATTGATGAGTTGAAAATCACTTGTTTTTGACTCTGGAAGTCTAGTGGCAGCACGTTTTGATCCATCCTTAAACACAATAATATGTTAATCTGAAATATTTTACAAAAATAGAAGAGGAGTTATTAAAAACATTTAGTCTGAAGTCTATTATTGATATGTTGAAAAGATGATTGATGACGACCGACTGTGATTTGTAGCTGAGATATTCTGAGTATCACAGCTGATGCAGCTGAGAGAAAGTGTGTGATTTGGGCCGATGGTGCAGATTCCTTCCCCCTCTGAAGCCCCCTCCTTAGGTGTGAATTTTCTTGTATTGTTGATACAACTCAGATTTAATGTTAAAACATGTGCAGCAGGATCCAGGGTGCAGGGTGCTGTTCAGATTCTCTGGCTGTAAGAGCACAGACTTTATTGACTCTAGCTGAAGTTGTGAGCTCATTTTCCCGATGACACCCTCCTAATAGCAGAATAAATACGTTATTTCTCTGCAGTTCTCTACTTCATAGTGCACCCGATAAAGGTCAGGACTACCTTTTCCCGATTTGCAGATGTACCAAACATTTTTAGCTGAGTCGACTTCCCCTCAGCTGTTTACACAGACACTATCAGGTGATTTCGTCCCTCAGAGGCTAATCTTTAGATAAACATCTCGGGGTTTTTGGATGAAAGAAGTTGTACCTTTTGTGCATTTTGCCCTTCAAGGGTCCAGCTCCCCTGTCTGGTTCCAACATTGTTTAATTTCCTTTTCACATTGTCAGACAAAAGCCATATCTCCGCCTTCATTCTCTCTTCTCTTCATTTTTCTTCTCCTCTCCTTCTGTCTTCTGTTTTTCTACAAGTTTCGCCGGACCTACTGACTCATCCAAGATTTGCAGCAGGCAGATTTTGCCTGTCATGTTCCATGTCGTTCAGCATTTCTTTCAGTATTTAGTCAGTGTCAATCCATCAGGCACAAATACAGCATTTTAGAGATTCAGTCTAATTCTGTTTTCAACATTTTAACTCGGTGAAAAGAAAGACCTAAAATTAGAGTCAGCTGGCATATTCCTATAAGGTGCTTCACTGATATTGCAGATGTCGGCTGCTGCCAAAAATCTGTCATTCAGTCAAGTTTGCAGTCTGGCCCCCACTGAGGTCCTGACTGTGCACATGGCAATGATTGATTTGAATGTGGAAAAAGACCAACAACTGATGAGGATAAATGGCCAACGTTATGTAATGTTATCATCAGTAATGCGATCTTATTCTCCTATTATATCTTTCATTCAAATAGTTTTTCTTCCTGCTTATTTTTCTGTAAGAGGGCGAGTTAACAGGTACTATTTGTGTATGAAACAGTATGTTCACTTCATGCCTGAATTAGAGACTTGGGCTTCAGCACACATATAATGTACTGATACATCCAAAACATAAAAACAAGCTGTCCACACTGGAGATGTTTTTGAATATTTCCCTAACCAGTAGGTGTCAATAATATGTTTCCAGTCTGTGACGTCCTGTACTGTACAAGAGTTGTGTGTGCATGAGTATTGAGTATCATCTCATGCGATTGTAAACGGCTGTGTTTCGTGTGGTGACTTAAATGCTGCAGAGCGTTGATGCATGTATTCTTGCACCACAGCATAATGATGAACAGAAAGGCTATGAATAAACATACAATTAAAGCAAACAGTACTGAGCAGATGTAAACAGTAGCCAGCCACCTCGATGCAAGCATAGTACATAGAAACACAAACTGCCATGCACTGATGGTGGTAATGATGTCAAACTTCAGCATTTCTTCTTCAAAGCCGAAAACATACCGAATCCGTATGAAGCGGGTTCCGTATTTGCTATTTCCATATCAGCAGCGTAGTGCAGCCCCGGTCAGCTGGGTTCAGTATAGAGGAAACAACATGCTCACAACAGGTTTGTTTGGTCTATTTCCTGCTAATCTGGATATAACTCCGTGATCATTGAGCCTCTACTATATGTGAAAAAAGAAACGTGATTTTACAGTTTCTGTTTTTTCAGGTTTACTCGTGTTTAATAAAGTAAACTATGTTCCTTTATATTGTGCTGTTATCTTCAGACAGAGTTAGCAGTTCAAAGTCCTGTTGGTGTCCACATGAATGATCGGATTGTTCTGTGTTACTGATAAATGCAGAACCAGGAAGTATTTCTCATCTCCACAAACTGATACACAGTCAGGAGTTTGCATATGGTGTTTTATTTTGAAACACCGGATGACACACGCGGTTTTCGTGCTTGACTTCCTGTCTAGAACGATCTTTTTTGTGTGGATTGACGCGCATTGGAAGCGTAGAGCAGCAAAAATAGACTAGCCGCGTATCTTCAGCAGAGCTGCTCTCGATACGCTTCTGATACGATGCTGCGACAGAGCTGATACGTGTCCTGTATGCTTTGCTGCATTGATTAGAATGGCAACCTATTTGTTGTGTGATGCACGATGATGCTGCCACGCTCCAAATATGCATCCTGTATGTTTTAGCTTTAAGACAGCTGTCTAAAACAGACGAAGAAATAATTGTCAGCTTATTAACAGTATTTGTATTAGTATTGTAGCTGATGTGGCAGGTAGTTCAGAAATACTAGACAGGGACATATGCTATCAGTTCTTGGGCCCACAGACATTGTTGTGGTTTTAGCCTTGAAAGCATAGCCTACAATAGCGCATCGTCCCTCTGCAACTTCTGCAATCACTGATCAATCTTAAAAACATTTGCAA